ACATGTGTCTTAAAACCTGGGCACCAAAAGAGTTAAATATCGGCCTGGATAGACGCCACCAGGGGAAAAAAAGGAAAATGTTTTCTTCTGTATTTTGGACTTCATGAGCTGACCCGTTTACAACCTGGGCCAAAGTGATTCTCGGTCAGTTAGTCCATCTGTCCGTCCCTCTGTTCCTCTGTCCGCTTCCAGAGAATCATCCAGAATAGTTTGGGTGTCACGATGAGTTTTTCATTTTGAATTCATGCCCCCAAATAAACCCAAATTTCCCCTGATAAGCACTCTGGTCCTCGGCAAAGTATGTTCACTTCTGCATGAAATTAGCTACAGATATCATCGTCCCCAGTGGAAGAAAAGCAGTCAGTAATGTTGTTTCTCCAATTCATAACTTTGTCTTTCTTTTTTGCCATATAATTACCATTTAAGCATCAAGGGACCCATATAGAGGTTTATTACACAACTGTTTTGAATACTTGATTCTTATTGGTCAATTAAGGCATTTTAAGTTGAGCTATTTCTGTATATCTGCAGCTGTTAGGAACCCAGCTCTGATCCAGACTTATCTCCCAAGTCAAATTCCTTCTTTCTAAATGTACTTGGCAATAAAAAACGATTCTGGTTGTGATCTCAGAGACGACATCTAATTTAAATCAGTCCATACAAAGACGTAAAAACCAAATGTTCTTACCAGTGTTGAACATGTATCAACTATTTGATTGAAGAATTCACATTTTCTGTCATATTTGGCATTTTTTTTATACAGGGTGTTGCTTATTATCTCTTTGCTGATTCTGTTCTGTACATTTATATGTCTCTAAAGAAAACTCTTTTCCTGCTTCCTTTTAACCGTCGAACGTACCTCCGACTGTGACAGTTAAAAATAAAAACTAAATAAAATACAACACCGTCTTTAAATCCTCTTGTGTGAATCCAGCAGACACAGCGGTGACAGGAATTAAAAATAGAAATTGTCAACTTTCTTCATGATGGTGTCGGTTTCTTTTGTCATAGAGAGGCGTCAGAATAACTTAGAGACTGTTTCATATCAGATTAAAATCTACTCATCGTACATCCAGCCCTCCCTTCACTTCTAATGTGATAGATAATGAATGCACAGCTGCTGTGAGATGATCTGAAGGCTCGTCAATCGTAAACACAGGAACTCAAAGTTGAATCCTGTTTGTCTGATTCCCATTATTATCTTGAATGAAGCACTACGCTGACAATCTTATTCAGACACACACACACACACACACACACACACACACACACACAGTGTTACCAGCATTGTTTCCTCCCTACAGTAGCAGGAGCGTAACTATCGTGCTCATCAGCTCATGCCTGCTCCCAGACAAAGCGTGTTACTTCATCACAGACACCATTGGCTCTCACTACGCTGCACTGGCCCTGCAGGTCCACTCCCTCATCCCCCGCCTCCCCACCTCCCCAAATGTAGGTCACACACAGCTGCCACAGGAGTGTTTGTTTGCCAGGCTGTCACCTCTCATTACACCCCCATCCCTTCAACATCTGCACCGAGGGGTCATAAACAAGGCCATCCCTGAATGCATGCAAGCTTTTTACTACAGCGGAGAGAACTATAGCCAAAACACTTCAATCTGATATATAGTGATAAATTAATAATGCGGAAGGGAATGGCGTCATACCAATTACTGTCAAAAAAAAAAAGGGGTCTGGTGAATGTTAACTGCACAGAAAGATTCCTGTAAAGATCTGGGTGGATGATTTTACTGTGAAACATTCAAAGAGAACATCTTTTCTGCACACTTTGTCCTTTTCCTCTCTTTCTGTCTTGATGAGGATCGGAGATTTCCCTCGGGGGGGCGCAGTGCCATTAGGAGTCATTACCGTGACCTTTATTTGCCCCGTGGTCTCTGCTGAACCCAGACCGACCCGCAGGGGTTGAGCGTGGCTGTCACAGCATCTCTCGTAAGGACACACTTTGCAGTCGGCTCGGTCAGGGCTGTACATAATGATGACCAACCCTTCCAACCCCGGGGGGGGTGAACACATGCCGGGTGTTTTGTGCGTGAGAGTCCCTGTGTTGATACATATTTATGAGACAGGCGGTGACTGTTTCTGCCCCTCTCAGTTAGGCTTCACTTAGACATGACATTGGTGTTACCTTCTCTGTGTCAGCCACGGTCTTTCGGGGTTTTGTCATATATGTGGGCTTCGACTTCATCTGTTTGTTTTGTATACATTTGGGTATATTTGCAGAAAAAGTAGTACGCACAAATATTTGATAATGAAGATAAAATGAAAATAGTTGGGCCGCAGATGGTCTAGCTGTGAGGTCTCACCCCGTGTACAGAGGCTACAGTCCTCCAAGCGGGCGGCCCGGGTTCAAGTCCTGACCTGTGGCTCTCCTACTTGATTCCCTACTCTATGCTGTCCTCTCTAATAAACGCATACAAGCCCAAAATGGATGATAACACATTGGCCTTATGAAGCATTTTTTTGAATACTCAAAGACGCCTAACAGAGAACAACAATTAAAACTTATATCTCCAAGTCTAGCACTTCAAAGGAGCGTGTTATTGTTTATTATTTCTGGGAGGAATCATTGACGACGTTAACCATTCAAACACATCAGAGGAGAGAATATTCTCTTTTAGTTATGGTCACACTAGAGATGCGAGGATACCATCATTGACATGATACCAGTTGAAATACAAATGCTATCAGTACATGTTTATATGCAACCACAACTAAAACAGAAGTCTGAGGCACCAAATATTGGATCATTTCTGGTTTTTAATCACCACAAACTCTGTCGAAACATCCGTGTTTTACAACCTGTAAATCTTACATGGACCATCGCTGCTCTACGTCTCGCTCAGGACTGATTTAAGTTTTTTTTAAAAAGGACCAAAGATCCGTTGTTGTTGTTTTTTAAAAGCTGCTTTACTTTTCACCTCTATCGATCATTAAAAGAACGGAGAGCGTACTGTTTAAACAAGTGATATTGAAAAGTATCAAAGAATTGCTAAATGTTCCCAACCTTAGGTCAAACGAAATCTTACAATTTGTATATCATATCAGTATGTTGAGATTTTACACCAAGCAGGAGTTAGATTTGATCGTGCAGAGTTCAACAATGAAGGGCTCTTTGAGGAAACCTAGGAGTGGATAACCAGCTCAAATCAACCGGCCAAATGAGCATAATGAACTCTGTCCCTCTAATTCCCTCTGTGCCTCAGTGAAGCCACCTAGCCTCCTCGCTCGGAAGATGAAATCCTCTGCATTACTCGTTTTATTAGCAGTGGAGACATGACAGGAAATGAGGAGGATAAAGGAGGAAGAACAACATGAACAAATCTGGTTTATGGTCAGCTCCATAACCCCGAGGCCCCCAAAGCTCCACCATTCATTGGTCTCCTAAAATGTTCTGTGTCAACAAAAATCTGTTCTCGTAACTTAAGTCATGCTCTTATGAAATATCCCAAAATAATTAACAACTGTTGGATGGGATTCATTTCAAAGTTTGAATCCACCAGCCTCCTTTCACGCTGACTTTGGCCTGGATAGAAGATAATTTATTTCATATTTAATGCATAAAAGTCTTAAATTATCAATTCAGAGACTTCATTCCAAACTCTTCAAATATTAAGCTGCTTGAGTTGTGCCAAGACTTACACATTATGTAAATAAGAGTATTTCCCAATATGCAGTTTAGACGTTACAGGAACTTTACAGGGACACACTTTTCTTCTTTACTGACATTTCAAGTGGGCTTTCTTTCATAAATTATATTTAAATTTGGATGAAAGCTGTCAGACACCTGATTTCATGATGATTAATTGAACATCTGTATCACCTGATATCACCCCTATTGGCTGATTTGTCTATTGCCAAATAGCGTGGCATGGACTGATGTCAGAGGTCGATGTGTATCTGACGTGTTGCATCAATTTAATGCTGGCAAGCCTTTATACAATCTTTGGGAAAGATCAGCAACATGATGACAAACAGACAGAAAGAATCACAAAGAAGTGATGAAAAAACGTCTGAATCAGCCATCGGCTAAATTGTTTTAAACATCAGTATCGGTATCAGCCCTGATTTTCACATTCATCTACTGTTTGTGTTTCTTGCCCTGATCGACTTCTTTATAGTGATGTCACATAATGTCAGAAGGTACCTTTTTAGAGTTTAATATTATCGTTAAACAGGTGATAGAAGCAACACTTACAGGACTCAAATTATAACAAACAAGGAGGTTTTTTAAAGAAGATTTGGGAGGAAACCTCTGAGTCATGAAATAGAAGTACAACTTACTTTAAGACGTTTTATAACTGAACAATAGGCCAAGTGGTGATACTGGTGTGACCCTTTCAAAACAAATAGAGCAGATTCAGTATTCATCGTCGTGCTCTGACAGTTTGCTGACCAGATGCGTCCCGGTGACAAAACAATATCTGTCCAGCCGTCATGTCTCAGCTCCATTTAATGCTGATAAGAGCACGTTTGAATCTTTCTGCAGCTGCTGCCTCCCTTCTTTTGTTAAAGCTCGCTGCATTTTTCATAGTATTGACATTAAGATAAATAATTAATATACGGTGTCTGTGTGCACACATGAACAGTGAGTACTCCGGCATTATTGATGAGGTACGAATTCAAAGAAAGTTCTCCGTATTTATTTGGTGGTTGGGGTTTTATAGATTTATTGGGTGCTTGGAATCTAGATGGGGCATCTGAGAATCTAATATGAGTGAATGGCAAAAACGAAACGCTCAGTTTGGTGGTCAAAACCAAACCGAGAGCAGCCTCTCAAAATAGCTCAAAGTGGAATATTTACTGCCTCTGTTTCCCCTTTTTTGTAGCCAACAACTGTCCTCCCCATCACCACCATCTCCTCGTCAGCACATACCCTGAAGGCTCTTTGTGATTTGGAAAATAATCCCTATTCTGTGGTTTCTTGGTTACTGGATTTTCTTTCAATGGCTGCATCAGTGATGTTTCTTTTGTCTTTGCAGAAGCTCATGGCCAGAAGCACAGCCTGCAGACGGTGCAGAATCTGCTGCAGGAAGAGGTGGCAAGAGCCGAGGAGCATTCAGAGGTGAGAAGACAAACGGCAACAAAAGCAACAAAAAGGGGGAAAATCAAAAAAATTGAGCCCATTCGTCTCGTTCTCGCTGAAAATCAAACGCTGTCTTGCATCACTTTGGCAGCACGTTCGTGGGGGATTCTTGAAAAGCAGGCTGCAGTCTTTTCTGACAGCCCGCCCACTTCTGTGCAATCTGATCTCCAAAGACATGAGGGATATACATACAGAGAGCAATCTGCCAACATCTGAGTGCAACTAAACCCACATCGAGCATGCCGAGCTCTGCAGACATCCCTCTACATATGTTCTGCCAATCCTGCTTTCACATTTCAATTACTTAGACGTAGAGGTGTTACTCTTAAGATGAAGTGAGTCTGTTGCACTAAAATTAAAATACAGGTTTGTTTGCTAGCTAAATGAAGAAGTTGTTGCAAATGTATTTCTTCTGATTTGCATAGAAAACTGTGGGAAGAGAGTGAGTGAAAGCGTGGGCGAGTTTTAGAAAGATATTAGCATATGTGGGTGACTAAAGGCTGCTGTTCTGCTGCACAGATAAATAAACCAGATCCCGTCGCTGTTATCAATGCTTCACGTAGTCAAGGTGAAAATGCACTTCACTCTTCTAATAGTACATCCAGAGAGAGAGCTTTACATTCATACTGGAGAGGACATGAGCATTAGACATGTTGTATGCAAAAATTCATTTCAGGGCTGCACTCATAAAGACAGACAACAATTAAATATGAATGTGTTCAAATAAAATGCCAAAAATATGACGATAAAGAAGAAAAAAAGACACATTTATACTTGTAAATCTACGTTTCTAACCATGTTCTTAATTATTTAATTTTCTCTGTAGATTGAATGAAAATCAGATTCATGCACTTCTAAGACTGAGTGAAATGTCAAAAGTTGAATTGACTTAAACAGGCAGACACAGCAGACCTAAACAAGTCATGTTTGTTTACATATTCTTCCACGTACCTCCTCTGGTATCTTGTGCAGGTCTGGTTTTGTTTGTAGAGGCGTGTTATGTCTGCCTCCACCACAATGCAGCGGAGTAACACTGGGTTTTGTTTATTGCACTCATGGTCATGAAAAGTGACCTTTTGAGAAGCCAAGAACAATGTACTGTTAAAAAAGCAGACTCTGGGTAATCCACAAACCTCACTGTGAACAGATTTGAGCTTTTCACTTGTGGTGAGGCGCAGAATGGAAACGAGAAATGAATCCTCTGCTGGCCTTGATGCGTTCACAGTTATCAGAACATGTTGTGTGTGTGAAAGAGGACTGCAGCATTTCTTTAGTGGAAAAGATGTTTATCTATACTCTCCACCTGAGCTGTGGGTGGAACGTCACTGGCTGCCTTTCTCCTTTGCGCTCTCTCACCCTGGGCATCATGGCCATTTTAAGATTTTGTTTAATCTGTTAATTTATCTCTGCATCTACCAATTACACAATCAGTCCTGTTTTTACCAATTAACATGTTTATTTTCTTTTACTGCTAGTTCAGTGTTTTAACTTATATGAGCTATGGGATACACATGGGATGGATAAATTATCTTCCCTTTCTATGTAAATGTTAAATGGACTTGAGCTTGTATATTTCTTTTCTAGTCTTCTGACTACTCAAAGCACTTTTACACCGCAGGTCACACCTACACATTCACACACTGATGGTAGAGGCTGCTATGTAAAGTAACTAATCCCATTCATATTCATTCATACACCACTGTCAAAGCAGAAGGAGCAACTTGGGGTTAAGTGTCTTGCCCTAGGACGCATCGGATGTAGCTTGAGGAGCTGGGGATTGAACCAACGACCCTCGCCCTTTCTCCTATCTATCTATTAGGACCCGACCGATTTGAGATTTTTAGGGCTGACAGCGATATCGATATTGGAGCGAAAAAATCTGATACCGATATCTTTCTTAGATCTTTGTTCAATCAGTAGAGATAGATATAGAGATACACATTTATTGCATTGATCCATTAAATGCAGTTATCAAAGACTTGTGGAAAAGATTTATAATGAAGACAAGATGGTCACTCGACTGGAAAGTAACTGCTCATGTACGTGCATCACACTATGGAGAGTGATGATGCTTGTTGTAATCCATATAGCGCCCTCTGCTGGTGAAAGAGAACTGCTAGAGTAAAACAATGAAACTCAAATGAAATGCTGTTTGACTGGTGAATAAATCGAGTAATATCGGTGCGTACCTGCTGGCTGATTAATCGCTCGGGCTCATCTATCTGCTCACTCTCTTTATGAAGCTACCCAGACTCATACTGTACACATGCATGTACTGACAAGACGAGTGTGTGCACACGGCTGAGACGGCACACACAGATGCTGTTAAAAACCCATTTTTCATTATCCTGTCTAAAGAATGATGAACAGGGATCCGCTGACTTTATTCTGTGTGTGCCGTGGAGATCTTCCGTCCAAGATAACGACGTCTCTAAATACTGTCTTGTCTCTGCGTGCTCAGTCAGCTCGTGGTGGATTATCAGTGGATTTTTCACAGTCAGTGTTTGATAACAGGATATCATTGTCCCCACTCGTATCAAACAGAATGTTCAACCAGACAGATCCGCTTTCAAGATACTGACCCGTTATATTTTTAGATGCCATTGTTCCTCTGAGTAGATAGAAAATAATTTACATGAAGCAGTAAAACAGAGACACATCGCATAAACATAGACGGACTTTAAGCCAAAAATTACACACACAACTCTCTGGATGATGTCTTATTTATAATCATGCCAGACAAGCTTTGTCTTGTCAGAGCACATAATCATAAGCACTTAAAAGTTATACAATTAACATTCAGTCCTACTTGAAATATTGTCCTGAATGTCTCTGAGCATTTCTGGTATTTTTTTTCACAATCAAATCTGCAAACAAATGATAGAGCAGTCACGGGGGTGATGTCCGTATCCTGAGCAGAGAGATACACAGGTGCTAAAACTTTGAAAACATCTTGAACTGTAATAATACATGTAACAGTTTTTACTTTTGCAAACACTCATCTCATTCTTCTTCTCAACAATTAAAATAAACTAAAATGTACACATGAGCCCAATTTCAAATACATGTTTTTACAGGAGAAATAAACATCAATCAATTTTTATTTGTATAGCGTCAACTCATAACAAGTGTTATGTCGAGACACTTTACAAAAAGCAGGTAGAATACCTTACTCTTTGTCTTTTAACATTACAAAAGAGCAGGTAAAAACACCTTACTCATTGTTATGTTACAAAAAGCAGGTAAAAGACCTTACTCATTGTTATGTTACAAAAAGCAGGCTGTAAACATGTTAATGACTTTGATCTGATTAGCTCATGTCTTTGTAGGCACACACTGTACATAGGGTGGCTTTAAAAAAAAAAAAAAAAAAACTTATCCATTTTGAGTTTAAAAAGACCTAAGAGTTATTTATGAAAAGGGGGCGTTGCTGATCTGACCGATAGGCAGGTGTGTTGTAGCTGTTTGTCAGGAGGCTTAAGGCCCGCCTCAGCTCCAGCTCTTTGCCTGTTACTAAGTTGACCCAAAATAAGTTTGAGACAGAATTTCTAATATGGCGAACACCATCAATTGGCTTCAAAAAGTCCTCTTCAGAAACCACTGGTTGACATCACTGGGACTAACGCTACAGTTAATGGTGTATGCATCATTTCTTGTGAATCTGTTGTGGAAGGAGCATGGCTGAATGTATCACTGACAAAGTAAACCAGCTTAAAGAGAGTTGGATGGCAGCTGTTCTTATACGATGCATAATGTTATTGTTATGATTGTTGGAGCATGTGGTGCAAGACACTTTACTACCATGCGAGTGCACACGAGCTCACACGACAAAGTGTTATCTCAGCATATCTAACCTAAACTGGTGAGTCTGGAGAGGCATTTAATATCTATTACAGAATAAATGCCTAAATTTGGCCATGATACGTCAAATTCTGCCCGAGGCTTAGAACCTAATACAGCTCAAAAACACATCGGCTGGTGCCAGTATTTGTCAGGTTTGATGATAATCGCTTGACCATCCAAACAGTCGTTTGCATCCTTTCACATGACCCCGCAGGCTCAGCTGTCAATCAAACCTCAACAAGCCTTTAAAACCTAAAGGAGCATTTCTGATGTTTTCAGAAGAACTATTTTATTATGATAAATATTAGAAATATTCACAATCAATTTCAAATCACCACTTCAAATACTTCTAAACGGACTGCCTTTGAATCTCCGCTGCCAAATGGATGAGATATGGACTCTAATCATCAAGCACATGAACGCTGCTGTATCTGTGGCTTGGCTTATTCCTGATATCCACTGTGTGTTAAAAATAGACTGTTGGGAGATCTGTGTTAGATTAAAACAGTCGGGGGAGAGTTTGACCATAAGAGTCTTAAAATTAGTCATAGAAAAAACTTCTATCAATAGAAAGTCTAATCATTTAATCCAAGTTGTCACAATACCAGAATTTTTAAACTTTGATACGCTACTAGTACAAATCAAACCACATACCAGTTTTGATTCTATGGCAACAAAAACAGAAGTCCTAGACACCAAACACTTAGTCATTTCTTGGTTTTATTCAACAAAAGTTGCAAGCAAACTCCTCCACACTGTTTAAAATACACAAAAACATGGACAACATCGAAACATTACCAATGTATGAGTTCAATGTAGACAGCGCTCTCTCTCTCTCTCTCTCTCTCTCTCTCTCGCTCTCTCTTTGGGGTGAAAATGTAAATTTTTTTTTTTTAAAGCTTCAGGACTTTAGAAAGGACTTTGGTGCAGCTGTGGCTCAGTGGGTAGAGTCAGTCCTCTCTCAACTGGAAGGTCGAGGGTTCGATCCCCAGCTTCTGCAGCTACATGTCTGATGTGTCCTTGGGTAAGACACTAAATTGCTCCCACTGCTTCATCGGTGGTGTATGAATGTGACTCTTTACAAATCAGCCTCTAGCATCAGTGTGTGAATGTGTAGGTGTAAAACCGCTCTGAGTAGTCAGAAGACTAGAAAAGAAATATACAAACTCAAGTCCATTTACTATTTACGATACCCATAATTAAAGCTCCAGATTGTTTGGTTTTAAAACACATACAAAGTATCAATGTATCGAACATTTGGAAAACCTTAATCCATAGATATCATATGAGTGACTTTTCTTTTGAAACTCTGAAAGTCGTCTTGGATTTAATCATGATGTATTATTCACACCTCAAACCCACACTGCTGCTCCGGGCTCACATTGATCCTCACAGCACCCTCCTCCCCCCCCGTTGACACCAGCTCCACTCCGATCAATACCAGTGTGACTCAGTCATTAAAGCGTCTGTCCACTGATTGAGCAGCCTCACCGAGCCAACACTGAGCAAACACGTCAGGACATTTGTTACTGAGTTGAATTCATCAACACTTGTTCATTACAGATATCGTACTTTTAGAAGTTTAAAATAACCTCAGGTTTAATAACTGCATATTGAAGATTGACATATGAGCTAATTCATGCTGCCACATAGTTTTGATTTACTGATGAAAGAAACCTTAAATTTGCACTCTCTCCGTGTGTGGGTCGATGCCTCAGAACTCTTCTAGTCGAGCTAAAATCTTACAAACATTTTCTCTCCTCTGATCGCCCCGGTTTGAGATGAAACCCCTCAGAGGGCCACTGCTTCAATTAGCAACCAGCTATGTGTTTTTTCTTACAGTTCTACATTCAACAGAGCAGTTTCCAAAACATCTTTGTTCAGACTTCTCATGTGTTCACAGCAGTGACATCGTGACCATGAAAATGTGGTAAAGCGTATCTTTCCTTTTGTGTTTGAGGAAAAAGAAAACCTCCTCCGTTGAAGACTCCAGCCAACAGCTTCTTCCTTTGTCACACACATTTAAACCCTCTTCCTTCATTAGGGAGATTCCTCATCAGGTACCGACATGAAAATAGACATCTGATGGTGTCACAGGAAACAAATCTCAAACGTATTGTTGTCCTGAGTGCTCGTATAGATCGCTCACAGGCGGGTTCGCTGAGGTTTTTAATGACTCCTCTCTCTTTAAACTGAGTGTGTTTGGTGCTAAACTGAGAGCCCACACAGCAGACTTGTTTGGGGTTTAGACTTGACTTCACAGCTCCAGCTCCTCAAAGGATCTTGCTCATTATATGTTAAAGCTGTCGGACTGCAGCCAAGTGGTCTGGACTGATGTTGTTAAGGAGTGCGCTGGTTGCCAAAGTGATGTATTCTCCTGTGGTGGTCTTTATCCTTTCTAGAAACCTTTCAACCTTTTTTATGGTTTTATAATGGAGGATCTTCCTGCAGAAATCCTGCTACATTTATTTTCTTGATCCAAACCAAGACAGTTTATTTTTTCCATTTTATTTTGTGTCAAATATCAAGTTGCAGTAGTCTGTTGTTATGATACAAGAAGACCATTTTCACACCACTGTCGGTCACCACTCATATTACAGGTCGTCTACTAATGGAGAATAATGTCTGATAAAAAGTAGAAAATGGCGCTGGCGTTGTCAGTTCTTGGTCTTTTAGTGGAAAAAAGAAAAGAAGAGGAGGAGGAGACAAATAAGGAGAAACCGCACTAATGGGTGAAAGCATGGAGACTACAGAGACATGCTCAAGGGGCTTTACTGAACCTGAGAGGAGAGCTGGAGAGAAATGAAACCTCCCAACAGCCAATCAGAGAGATCCCTCTCACCGACGCCAATTCAATGTTGAATCACCCAAAAAAGGTTAAAAAATCGGCTGAGTGAAATTTGTAACACCAATGTTTTCATCATCAATGAAAGTAGATTATTTTTGGGATTTGTGTTTTTCTCATATTACACCCCCCCCCCCCCCCCCAAAAAAAAAAACACTTTACATTTTGAAATGTCTTCCTCTTCCCAAAACCCCAACTTTTATCATTTTAATCTCATCAAGGAGAAATAAATACGGCAAAGACTCTCATTAGAACACAAGAACAAGTGACATCAAGCTCAAAATGGGACTTTAATGATGAAGCCGTTATCAAAATATTTGTCGTTCAGTTTTCGTCTCTTGACTGGCTGATAATCGTTTGCCATTTCTTCTCATCCTCAGAAATAAATATTGATCGAGTGAATATTGACAAAAGCAGATTTAGAAAAATGTGCTGAATCACCTCAGTGAGCTTCTTCTTCAGTTAATAATGTTTGTATTATTCCAACACAGAGATATTTAATTTGAACTCAAGACCAGGAGAAATGAAGTGTTTGAAAATGAACACTTAAATGCAGATTACTGTTTGCACACTCAGGATCAAAATGAAAAGAGCTTCACATGTAACAGCTGTTGTGTGTTGGCAGTAAGGCCAATTTAATTCTCTGCGGCCTGAGGTTATTTAACGGCGTCCGCGCCAGATGGAGACGCTCTCCGGTCACAGTGGGGGGAAGACTCGGAGGGAGGAGACGTAATAAACCAGAAACTCCACCAATCACGTGACAGAAACGACCAGCAACAAGCCACTGTTGGAGGAAGGGAGAAGGGCTGTGTGAGATTTAACATTCGCTGGTTAATTTAGCGTCCTGTCCTTTCATGCCACCACACCAATTATTTCCATGTCTGAGGCCTCGTTATATTTGCATTTTTTGGTTCATATTAATATCCCTCTCGACTTTCACATCCTTGACTCTGTGGTTTTTCTTCTTTCTTTGAATCTATACTGGCTCTACTTTATGACTGTGCTGCTTTGTCTGGCCTTTTGTTTGGGTTTAAGTTGTCGTCTGAGTTTCCTGTTCTTGCTTTCTTTGTAAATGCACCTTGTAAACTCTTGTTTTTAAAAGGTGCTGAATATTGAAGTCTTTATTTTCAGGCCACATTTTGTTTACTTTTGTTAAAAACCATTGTTAGAAACGTCTGATCCAACCTTCACAACAGGGTCCTAAGACTCTTCTCCTCTGTCGCCCCCTGGTGGTGGAATGAACTTCCAAACCCCATGTGATCTGCAGAGTCCCTCTGCACCTTTAAGAAAAAGCTAAAGACCCAGCTCTTTCATGAATACCTACTAACTTAATGATGATGGTCTCCATATTATTGATGATGATGATGATGGTAATGACGATGGTTTTTGTTTGATAACGACGACTTATAAGATGGTTTCTATACTGATTAGAGCTCTCAAGAACTGCCCTCAATGTTGTGCTTTGCCTCTGGTCACTTCCTGTCAGCACCTGTGTGTCCAATCAGACTCAAAGCTGATCGTTTGCTCTTACTGACATTGTTCCCTTTTTTCTAGATCCTTGCTTGTGTTGTTCTTACTCTCTGATGTACGTCGCTTTGGATAAAAGTCTGCTAAGTGAATTGTAGTAGATACTGGAGAAGTAACGATTAACTCAACTCACTAAATGATTCCTGTCCTATACTGCAATCATAACAAACCTTTTAGATACCAGGTCTTTAAAAACAATATCTCTGTTATTTAATAAGTGATGGTATTTGATGGTAACAACTGCAAATCTTCAGTCTGAGAGAGAGAAATGTCAAATTGTTCAAAGACATTTCCAACGTTTAGCTATAGTTGTGCAATTTAGACAGTGTGCAAAAGCTGACATGTATTTATTATTCATTAAAAATAAGGATTTACCCAATATTGGGTGCATAGGACGATATTGTTCTATTTCAATTTGTACTGTTTCAATGTTCAAATTTTGTTTGTATTTTGAAAACCCCCGTGTGAACAATAAGAATGCGATTAAAAGGCCAATTTGTGAATACTCTCTTGTTTTCTAGTCCCTGTCCTGTAAAGCTAAACTAAAGCAGGATTGGCTTTTAAAAACTCCCTTTGGTTTATGCAGCCGTTTCTTCATAATTGTAACTTCTGTCACGGACCAGCCGAGGCTCAAACTCGGCTTTCACATCCTGGGAACACATACAGAGGCAGATCGCACACCTTTCAACGTCTGCCAAATGTAACGGTTTCAGCACATGGCCCATTGTAAGCTCAGTAAAGTGAAGCTCCAGTGAAATATCACAACCCCAAATCTATGCCAGAGTTCATGGGTAAACATCCCCGAGCGTATTAAATCCTCTTCATACTTAAGAGGCGTTTGTTTTGGAGGACTCCCCGCGCTGGGACCTCCCTTTGTGTGTCGTCCTGTCTGCTGATGTCGGTTTATTTGTCTACCCTGCTTCACAGGAGCTGCTGGAGAAGTTCATGGAGGGGAACGTAAGCCTGGATGAGTTTCTGGACTCCTTCCAAAGCTCCAGGAAGACGTATCATATCCGCCGGGCTCAAGCGGAGAAGATGCAGGAGGTCGTGCAGTCCAAGCGGCAGCTGGTGAAAATCAAACGGGCGGAGGAGAGTAAAGTCCCCGAGGTGAGGAAGGACTCGGAGCAGCCTCAGGAGCCGCAGAGGCACAACGGCTTTGTAGCGCAGGGGCCGCTGAGAGTGTTCCAGGTACGCTACGGCCTCACGCCGGCCATCCTCCTCCCTCATTACCCCGTTTCTCCTCCCGCTTCGGCGCCGTGTTTTCAAAGTAGTACCCCTCAGGCCGACTCTCAACCGGGACAGACCCACATCCTCAGCCCCAGCACCCAGCTCCCGGGACACGGACAGCCGGTCGGCCTCAGGGTCATCGGACAGTTGCCGGGCGGCTGGCCGGCTAACGGGCGGCCGGTGAGGGTGCAGCAGCTTTACAGGCCGAACCCTCAACAGCCTGAGCCGCCGTACCGATAAACTCGAGGGAGGAGGAGGAGGAGGAGGAGGAGGAGGGAGAGGGAGGATGATGAAAAGCCGGCGTCGGTGTCAGAGGGCTTCCAAGACGTGGGAACCAAACTAGTGGCTGTCACAATCATGTAAGCAAAGACTGATCCACAGACGGGCAGCGCTGCACATGTTTTGTTTCTGTTCTCCATCCATGACACTCAAAATGTAAGCAGAGCAGACGCACCTGAGAGCAGGTAGAGCAGGGATGGGCTCCGATAGCTGGATCCTTTCAGCTCCAAAGCTAATGACTCTCTTATCAAAGCTGTTACGTATCCTTAATCTAGTTCATTTCTAATAACCAAAACTTAAAGAGGAAAGTGGCATATTTATGTGAAGTGCTACCCGCCTTTACTGTGGCAGCGATGAGGCTGACGTTCAGGTTAATCCGGGACGACAGATGAAGGTAGTCTGTGTTTATGTGCAAGTTATAAATTAAACATTAACACAAACACTTTTTACTTCCACTGGAAATGTGTGGTTAAGTAATTTAAACCCATAATACGGGGAGAGTATATCTAAGGGGAGTCGGGGGGGGGGGGGGGGATGTATCTGAAGAGCGTTTTGAGTATATAGATTGACCCATCTGTTACCATGGAGGAGGCGGGGTTTATGAGCAATACTGCAGCCAGTCTTTTGGCTTCACTTGAGGCGAGGGATTCTGCTGTCCATTTGTTACACAGTCTATGATTTAAGTTAGCATCTTTAATGGACATTACTGGTTTTTAATAACAGACATATAATGCTGCAGCTAATAAATGATTACAATGAAACAGTTAAAATATAAGTTTTAAGCTTTAAAAAAAGGTGTTTACAAACTTCTTTGAACTTATATAACTTATATTTAAACTTTTTCATGATTTTAATGTTTGAGTGAGAATTGATCAGTGGATTCTTTACTGAGCGAGCATTTGATCAAAAGCTATCGAACCCCATCCCCAGCAGAGACAAGAAAGTCCACTAGTTATTTTAAATTTTATTATTATTATTATTATTATTTTTGTGTTTTACATGGAGGTATGTGAAGCACATCTGCAGCTACGAAAGCTAAGAAAGATGTCATTGTTCATTCACACGACAGAGAGAATCTTTGTGAGATGCCACGAGCCAATGAAGTGAAAGAAAAGGCATCAATAAAGTGTTTCATATGAACTTTGATTTGATTTCTTCATCTCGCCTGATAAGATAGTCGTGACATTCATAACACGGAACATTTCCCAGGATCATGATTGAAAAGTTAAAAACCAAACAGAGCCGGTGTGGTATTTATTAAGAACGATAAGAGCGTCTCCACATTATGTGCAGTGTGTGTGTGTGTGTGTGTGTGTGTGTGTGTGTGTGTGTCGGCTTCACAGGCGATTACCCGGAGCCGTCTGCCTTCTTGTGCGATTTCATGAACAGTGCTGGAGCTCAAACGATTTATTTATTCATGTAAATCCTATTTTAAATGGCCGACTTCAAAGCTCCTTGTTTACCGTGCTAAATGAAGAGCTGCTGCTTCTTTCAAAGCAAGCCAGTGTTTTTCTTTTTTATATTTCCCACCACCACCCCCCGAAACCGAGAAGCAGAGTGAGGGGAGTTTAATCTCTATGAGAATGCCGGCGCTCTGCGAGCCCACAGTCAAACATACTGTGGTGTAGGAGGTTTCCTTTTCTCATTTCACTCTCTCCTCCTTTTTTTTTTTTTTTCTCATTATCCGTCCCTCAGCATTCAAAGGGAAGAGCTGTGGATTGTTGTTTTCTCATGGATCTGCTCTTCAACAAACATGTTGCTCATCAATAACTCATAAGTGCATGCTTACTACAGCTCGACAGAGTATACAGGAAAATGCCTTTTTGCAGGCCAGTGCCCAGTTACATACAGATCCTCAGATTTCTGATGTTTGGGGAGATGAAAAAGGGAGATTTCAAACCCGTTTCTAAGCTCTGATGATTTCTTTCAGAGGGTTTTCCTTGTCTTTAAATCTTCTTCAGTTTTGGTAAACGCAACAGTTTTTTAACTCAAATGAAGCCTGAATAAAACTCACTGTGAGCAGAGGAAGTTCATATCTTGGGACTTGCTAACACAGCGCTTTAATCTTTTTCTTTTTTCTCCAGTTTTCCTGATTTAAATGTTTAATTTAGCTTCTTTTGTGTGTGTTTTTTAATTTATTTAATGCCTTTCCCCCCAGGGTTCTGCAAACACTCCCTCACAGAGTAAACAAAGAACAACAAGCCTTTTCAGTATGAACACAAACACAGAGGAGAGTCTGTTTCTTAATCCAGACTTTTTCTTTTTTTGCACAACTTCACTTTTTTTTAGTTGTTTAGAAAAGTTTCTTGCAAATCCTTCAAGGACACATTTCAACATCTCCAGAAATGCATTCAACGCTTTGTTAGAGTTACATGAAAAGGCTGATGACTTCTGTCATTATGGTAACAAGGACACAAGAACCACAAGACTGTTAGCTTAGCTTAGCACAAAGACGTGGAAACAGAGGGAAACAGCTACATGTAGATCTGATTAAAAATGATCCAGCTTCAATAAAACTCAGTGATTAACATTCTGTTTCAAGTAGGTTTAATTGACGCTAAAAAGAGTGACTAGGACACGCTGTGGTTTCGGCTTGAGTTGAGAATATAAAGCTGGCAGGGTCGGGATTAACGTCATAGTTTAACTGACATCAACCGGAGCGGTGGGTGACTACATTTAGGCGTGTGGAGGTTTAGCTGCAGGGAGGACTGAAGGCAGGCGGTGAAAAACTTAACCCCACACTCAGCAAACCAAATGACTTCGTTCACCAGCCGACAGTTTGAGAGTCGACTGGGGACTTTGAAATAAAAATTGACTCGTTGGTTTAACAGAATTTAAATTTTCTGTTATCCGACTAAGAAATGACTCGGCTGGGAACATCCCTACCTAATATGGACGCTGGCACTTTTTTGTTTATTCACTCGGAGAAATCAGTGGGCAGGACAGCTTCTCTCTCTCTGGGTTGCTATGGTTACAGGGATGCTCTGTGTCCACTGTCAATTAAACTTTCTGGCGACCCGACCACTTCCCATTCTGAATTATTTACAAGTTGTTTTATTTTTTTTTAACAAAAAAAATGAAAGTTTTTATAAAATGACATTTTTAATTCCACATACACATGCATGCAGCCTGCAGCTTTACAAAGGTTGTAGTTCTGAAATATTAAGGAAACATGTTTGTCAATTAATTAAAATGATGTGAACGATGTATGAGCTTTATAGACGCTGTGGGTGGATTTAAGCCTGAAGAGTCAGGCTAACTGTTTCCCTTTGTTTCCATTCTTTATGCTAAGCTAAGCTAATCGCCACAAAAGTCTTGCTTCATATTACAGACTCAAGTTGCTTCAGTTTCTCCTCTTAGATGTTTCCCAAATATCAAGCTATTAGTTCAAGTCTTGCTTTAAAATCTGATGAAGGTGTTCATAGAGGGTGTAGCTGGGCACTGGCTTCAACCAAACATTCAGTTCTGCGTTCACTCAGGGTCTTTCAGAAACAGAATGCAGTGTCTCCGTCCTCATCCCCTAAAGCACAGATGGACCCGCAGGGTGACGCTCAATCCAGACTCTCATTTACCGGAGCATGCCAGAGAGACTCAGACCATCGCCGTCATGTGACGCTGAATCACCTCCACATTGTTCTGATGCAGCGACGTTTGTCCCAGCGAAGGTTATCGCTCCAGGCCTGGAGAGTGATTTTGATTTTTGTAGCGTTGTTTGTCTGTGAAAAAAAAAAACGACCCTCAGCAAACTGACTGAGATTCATTAAGACCGGATGCTTAAATGTGTTTGAAATGTTCTCAAAATGTAAAAGTGCTTGTTTCTGCGACTGTGGTTTGGTTTGTCTCGTCTTTTCTATCGTGTGTGTGTCTATTCAAGGATCTGTCCCAGCAGCCTTCCTTCAAGGTTTGTAGTAAAACAAATAAATGTTAAAAAAATGGAGTAATGAAAAAGATGAATGGAAGATGCTTTGGAATTTAAATCGAGACATAGGGCATCAAAACGTTTCCAGTGATTCACATCGCAGCATCATAGGCGAAGGCGCCGTGGCTGTAGGCGTTCAAAACCAGATGATTCTGAGCGACGTCAAAGCGGATCAGTCCTGCAGAGAGTGAGGATGAGCTAATAATATCCAAGTCAAGTCATTTCCATCTCCTCTGTCTCTGAGCGAGGGGGAGCTGATTCAGCTCAGCAGCTGCAGTACAGTACGAGTGACTGGACGCACGTGGCTGTCAGGACGCCGTCAGACTCACAACACTGATGAAGGGAGAAAAATGTCAACTTAGAAAAATCTGATCTTTCCCCTTGATAACACACAGAGACAAGCTTTCACATGCCCCAGACTTTGAACGCATCGCTGACTTCTTCTTCCTGTCGGTCATGTAATGAGACGCTGGTCTGCTCTGCGTGATCGTCCATTTTGATTTAAATTGATCTGCAGGACGCATCAGAATAATTTGGTTATATCTGAGAAAGGTTTGCTCTCTTAAAAAAAAAAAAAAAAAGGAATAAATTCTTCAGCAGAGACGTTAGTGCTCTTATGAGGAAAAGCTTGGACCAAACTTTCCCATAAGAGGAAGTCTCCTCGGTGAAAATAGAAACACAAGCATCGCTGTGATTCCTCTTTTTTCAGAGGAGAACATAATTAGCATGAGAAGCACAAGAAGTCACAGTTTGTGATTTAAACACTTGTTATGCACAAAGTTTTTGATCATTATTTTGTGCTAAAGAACAACAAGGCTGCAGAAAACAGACAAAGACTTCTGAGTCTTTGAGAAGATGTTGTTTGTTTGTATCGGGATGTCTAGGAAGAGAAACGTGTTTTCAAATGTCTCGAGCTGCAAACATCAGCGCTGTGATCTTTTGGAGACATTTTGTCACTCGAGTCTGTTCTGGTATCATAAAAATCTCCAGCGCCGGCTACGAGCCGGGTAGCCATAATGTGCTGTGACGGAGACTTTCCGCAGCTGAAAATCGCTGCTAAATGATCCAGAGACGTGGCTTTTTATTTTCCACACTCTTTAAAACAAAAAGGTCTAAATGAAGAGTTTCAGTCATGAAGGCAAAGAGTCTGTTCTTTAACTCATCAGATTTACAACACAGAAACTTCTGTGTCTGTCAACATCCAAACTAACACTGAAAGTGCTTCATCTTAAGTTAAGTAGGTTATAAATACACGGGAGGTTTCAGAGTTAACACAAAGCTCAACAAAGACAAAAAAAGATGAATGATGTGAAATAAACAACTCAATTCTGAAGAGGTATAAAAACAACATTTTTGTCTTTTTTTAGGGCCTCAAGTATCAAAAAAACATTCCTCTCTGTTAAAGTATGTTATGTGTTTATAAGGCCCGTGTCCACCTTGCCTTTTTTTCCTGAACGTCAGCGTCTTTTTTTTGATTGTGTTCAATGAGTATAGCGAGCGTACAGCCAGCGCTTTTCTGCTTGGAAAAAACCTCTAGGCTGGCATATGTGCAGCTTCACTGGCATCAGGACTCGATTATCCTGTCACCCGGATCGTTATCACGATGGGTTG